TGGTAAGGTGATGGGATGGCTCATGACGAAAACATGTGCTTTGTTCTGTCGAATTGGAATTCGGAGTTGGCAGCTTTGATATCATGCCACGGCGACTGGTGATGGAGATTATGGCCCAGAGGCTAAATGAAGGCGACAAGATGCTACGTTTTGTACCTTGCTTGACCTTATTTGAAGGGGACCATGACGGCATTGAGACATTTAAATGCCACCGAGCCAGGTGGTGAGCGATGGAGGAGATGACATTCCGCTTGGGTGGATGACAGGTTCATCATGAGATGAGATTACGATGAGACTTAGCCGGATTGGTGAATCAGCCCTGCTACCTTAGTCCGTGTCTACTTAGATCTCCACTTTAAAGCGGGTCTGGGGCACGGATGGTTGTTGCCTACATCAATAGTGGGTCTTTCCTACTTTAGTCAAGGGGCTCTATGGGCAGTGCTTAATTGACGTTCTTCTACCCGTAATACCCGTGCCTTGCAGCTAGCTACCTTGTCCGTGTCCGCTGACGACTTCACCTCTATGTAAGTTCAACAACCGTGGTCTTTCATTTAGTCGAATTCCACATATTTCGATACAGTGGTGGTTGAAACTTCAGTCGTGTCCTTTATCGTATGAAGCTGGCAAAACAAATTATAAGCTACTATCGCGTCTACACTCAACTTTGATGGATATGGGTATTGATTTCATGCCATGCCTAAGGTAAATACCAGAATAGAGAATAGAGCTAGGTAGATCTTTGGGAACATCCACACTCCCTCACGAGCCTATTCTAGACACGGTGAATGCCAGCGCATTTCATAGTGGTCTCACATCGTTCAGGATTAGTAGAAGTCCCGATGCTAGCCACGAGGATGCGGGCCCGCCTGGCCTCGTCCTGTCCGGCCCTCTCATGCAAAAGGTTGGGTCTTTAACACCATTAGATTCTATCTGTCCAATAACGCTTGCCACGTTTTGCAATCATCATGCAGCAAATGTTGGAAATGTGACCTGGTTGACACGCCAACGCCCTGGATTCATGTTTGATTTCCTGCATCATCCTTATTTCAATGATGTGCATGGCTAATAAAGCGCATTTTGACGATCCAGGAAGGTTGCTGAATGATTACATCCAATTAGGCATTTTTTGTGGTGCTGGACAAAATTTGGCGATAAATGCACTCAGGATGAGTATGTATAGTTCGCATGATGCGCCTAAGGCTTTGTATTGTGGCTACCTAGGACGGTTAGAATCGGATACCTCAAGCGGATTCCGAAGAGACCACAATGTGCTAGTGAGTTCTGAATCACGTTTCACTCCATGTGTGTGCTGGGTCCAAAATCTGAAGCTGAATACAGCCTTGTTCTACTAAGTTCATAGCTTGCTCTAATTGGCTTGCTAACTGTTGAATTTCGAATAATGACTATGTTGCAGGAGTCAAGAAAAGTGTTTTAGGAGCAAGACCATAATTCTAACGCAATCTGAGAATTATGACTCTAATGCTACATAAGGTAGGCTGTATTCTAGAATGTTCTCAAAATTAGTATTTGTAATGTTTTTAGGTGTTAACAGTGATAAGTCCGCAAAGACCGATGGAAGATTTTTGGATGAATGACGTTTGATACTGGTATGCTCATCCGTCGTAAGAGCTAATTCAAGAGCCTCAGGCCGCTGTATGTAAGATCCTCGCTAAAGGTTGCGTTCTGCCTAAAAGTCCGAAGAGAACCGGAACTAAAAAGATACTCTGCAGCTGTCTATGCCGAGTCCCAATTAATGGACCTCTGTGCATTGAGTGATGTAAAAACAAGGCAGATCAGTGAGGAGCAGCCTCGTCCTGGGTTCAAGGGGTTGTTCTAGCCTTGCGGCACCGACAATTGTTCAAGTCAGGCTCAAGACTTTTGGATGCAGCCAACGGAGCTGACCACACCATCTCACTCTATCCGTTGAGGACTTTGCAATTGGCTTGTGATGATTCAGTCCGTCGTTGGTTGCCTGCACGTTGCCCTGTCGTCGAATAGTTGCACCGTTGCTTACCCCTGGCTCCTGAGAGGAAGAGCTGACACTAGGCATTGTGGGCAAATGCAGCGTGATAATGGTGGCCAGCCATAGGACGATCCACTCTGAACGATCGGTGAAGTAGATGAATCGATTCGTTCCAGATGCTTCGGAGCCAAGGCAGCTGCGACAGTGATGATTCTGGTGATATCCAATCTCAGCCCAGAGTTGTACATGGCTGAGGTGAATGTCTCCAGACGCCGGACGCCTGATCTAACAGAGTTCCACGGGTCATTGAGTAAACGGTCAGCGCCAATTGCGCACAGAAGGCCCGAATAAAAACATGCGTTTGTATGGAGCGTGAGTATTTCGTAATGTCGTTACGGGTCCAGTCGGCATACGAGTATCGGTTATCGAGTTAGGGGCTCAGCCAGCCTCGTATTAGCTCGGGCGACATTGTAGAGTCGCCTTCTTACGTATACGATGTCTGCAAGTCTATTAGCTTTCAGCTGGAACTCATGTGGGGGTAGTGTCCTTGAGAAGGCTTCCAAAACCATGCGTAACCACCCACGTGCCACTGTCGTGATATTGGCCACCAGGACCTTCCTCTCCGCCAAAACAAACCATCCAGCTGCAGCCGAGCAACCCGAGTGTCGGGTTTCATCATTCAAAGTTTTTGAGAGACCGCGGAAAAATCGATCAGTGGTGGCTGGTACGAGAATTTCGGGGTGATAAATTATCCGCTTCATCATTGTTGCGTTGCTTTACGGGCTTGCCGATGCGATACGGTAATTTGTGTGGCTGTGTTCAACCAACCTGGTGGCGTTGAGGACTGAGAAGTCGGGTTGGTCGCCACATGACTGAGAAAATTTGTCAGACCAAGAGGAAGAACCGAGAATTATGTGATCAGAAGCAATATGTTTGCCACGAGGCCTCCGATTCTTAGAATCTTTCCCACCAGACCATCTCCTTGAAAGGTCAGAAGTTGAAGATGTTTCCCCGCGGTAGTACCCGTGTGGCTGTTGACTCAGTTGAGATGGGGACTTGTGGTTCAGTGCAGTTCTAACCAATGAAAGAGGTAGTATGTAGAGCCAATGACACCTCAGAGCGAGCTCCACAGCTTGAGAGAGAAGAAAGGCAGTAGGTAGCCAGGCTGACAGCCTGGCGGAAGTTGGCTTGAATGCGAGACTCTGACACTCAAGGCCTAGTATTGGTTGTGGGTTTGGGACAAAGCATCAAGCCAACAAGACAATGAGACTCGCCCAAACTCGCACTGGCAATGTCTTCTTGTGAAAAGAAAGATGTATGAACATAGGAGAAGAAGCACTGTCAATACCTTTCTGGTGGCACATATGGCCGGGATTTCGGTCAGCAGAGCCCAACGTTCGTAGTAGCAATTCTCGAGACTGTCAGCTGGACAGAAGAGCCGGCGGCCTGACACGATAAAAGGGTGAAGAAGTGCGGGACGATTCCATATTTATTGGGTTGGCCAGTTGAACTTATGTAAGTAAGCCGACGTCAAGTGATCGCGAAACACTTCTCATGGAGGTGGGTTGGGCCAGATTTTGGCCCCCAAGCGGCTACGGTCGCCGCTAAACAAAAGGCACATGATCCCCCGGCACCCGACACCGCGACTTGAATTTGTGCACAAGTCTTCTCATCCCATTTGATGCGAGTACATCGCGTAGAAACGCTGGTCAGAAGTGGCTGACACCGTTTACGAGACTCCATTTTCATGACTCTTGAAGGTGCAAATGACGGGACCGGAAAGTGCAAAAACGCATCCTGACCACTGATCTGAGAAGACGAGATCGATCTTGTCGGGCAGCGTGAGGAACAGCTTGGGTGCGGGTGGACAGCACCTAATTATATGTGATGGTGCGCTTACGGAGTACTAGTGGAAGAGATTGGGCAGTGAGGGGGGTTTCTTGGGAGCTGATGTGGGCGAAGGGGAAGTCCCCCAGGACAAGAAAACTGCCTGGCGTGGCTGGTTCGCGGACCAGATTGCGGCTCAAGGTAAGGCAACCGAGCTAAAGCCCAGGTGGCGGTAGGGGCGGGATATATGCCTAGATATGTACACCGCTTTGAACATACCTGGAAATGGTTCGCCGCGCATCCGCCTCACTGTTAGGCAGGCTCATGGCCTTCTATGAGAAAGATCCTCGAAGATAGCTTCCGAGCTTTCTTTCATGGAAATCTTGCGAACAGTTCGCACGATCCAGCAAGATTTTTAGTCCCCATGATATGAAGGGGATGAAGCCAGCTGAAGTACTGTTGAATTTCCGTCTCCTCACTTCCCTCGGCTCGAAAAGCCATCAGGAATTACGTTTCCCCGAAGCTTTGACGTCTTTGCTGTCCTCGCGACAGTTCTGCACGGAACACGCACGAATATACGTTGAATATGACGGATAAATCTCGCGGTGGTGGTCTCGACCTTTCCAAAAGACTCACAAATTACAAGCGGGCCAACGACATAAGTCTTCGAAAATGCGCCCATTGTCCCGACTATACGTTTCCTGTACGTCCCACAAGGGAAGACGTGGAGCGGCACTTCCTAGAGTCTGGCCATAGTAGGCATGACAGCGACCAAAACGATTTAGTAGACAGGACTTGGTTACGGTAATGCCGTCAGTCGCAGAGCCGCATATTCCAGTGCTAACGTTTACTGCTATAGCATTAAGGGACAACAAGTACGCCCAACGTCAGACCAACCACAGTCCGCAACCGATCAACATACAACAGCATCAAAAGACAATGCGACCCAAGCACTCAGACGTCCGTCGCCGGGCACGATAGGCAAGGCTACTAGCCCTCCTCGGAAAGAATAAGAGGAAGGATGGGGATCATAGGTCTTCGCATCCAAAGCGTAGTCGTGCCCGGCAGCAACCACAAGTTTCTGGTGCCAGCCATGCTGAAGACAGTGACTTCAAAGAGACCCGGCACACAAGGCGGGCAGGCTGTGGACTCCTGAGGAGGGCATCTACGCCGCGACGGCCCGATGCTGGGCGCTCGAAAGAGAAAGATGGTGCAGACCTACCTCGGGCGGCTTCCAATCGGACGTTCGAGCATCCGCGTTCCTCTGATTTTGATAACACTGAAGTATTAATCAAACAGCCAGAGACGCGCCCTATTAGCCAAGAACAACTTGTAGCTGAGGTAAAAGGCATTTACGCTGGGCTCGTCATGGTTGAGTCGAAGTGTATCGAGGTCGACAACGCTCAAAGTTCAAATAACGAGACCAATCCCAAGCTGAATAATGAGCAGTGGCAGGCATTGATTGCTTTACACCGAACTCTGCTACACGAACACCATGATTTCTTCCTTGCTTCGCAACATCCGTCTGCAAGTCCAGCATTGCGTCGGCTTGCGAGCAAGTACGCAATGCCGGCGCGCATGTGGCGCCATGGCATTCATTCATTTTTGGAGCTTTTGCGTCATCGTCTTCCTGCCTCGCTCGAACATATGCTTACATTCATTTATTTGGCATACTCGATGATGGCTTTGTTGTATGAGACTGTTCCGACGTTCGAAGACACTTGGATTGAGTGTCTTGGCGACTTGGGCCGCTATCGGTCAGTAAATTCAAGACAGACATTGTTACCCATCTTCCTGCTGCACACGTATTGACTCTTTACTACAGCATGGCTATTGAGGATGATGATCTCAAGGATAGAGAAGTGTGGACTTCAGTGTCTCGACACTGGTACTCAAAGGCTAGTGATAAGGCTCCTCAAACGGGCCGTCTTTACCACCATCTCGCAATTTTGGCGCGCCCAAATGCTCTGCAGCAGCTTTTCTATTACACGAAGTCTCTCTGCGTGCCAGTTCCCTTTCTGTCTGCTCGCGAGTCAATTATGACTCTATTTGACCCGCATCTCAATGGCACACAGACGAGGCTGCAGGAGATCGACGCCGCCTTTGTGCGCGCTCATGCAATCCTATTTTCGGGCAAGAATACTGATCAACTCTTATCGTCAATCAACGAGTTCATCGATAGCTTGGACAATCACATCGCACGTCACACTCGTCGCTGGCTGGATAGCGCATACTATATTTCTATCGCGTTGGGTTGCTCACTTCTCGAATACGGTAGCGAAAGCAATCCCATCATGAGAGCTCTTAAATCTGGCCGTGCCGATGACGCAGACGTCCCAATGGAAGAGGCTGAGACTTTCGCTGCTCCAACACAGAAGTTCCTGGACGCCTTGGATTTCGCAGCTCGCACTCATAATGTTGTGCTGAGACGGTTCGGCGACGAGAACATCCGACCATACCTACACGTCACTCTCTCACTCCTTCAGCACTTGTCTCAGTTCCCTGCAGCAATGGGACTGATAGAAGAGAAGATGCCTTGGAAGCTCATGGCTTTGCTTCTTAACACCGTCATGCCAACCGATATCACTACTGAAACAATCAAGATCATTGAGTCGGAAGAATTCCCCCGGCCAGATAAAGGTGACCCTCGTCCCCTGCCGGACGATTTTGCGCAGCGAGGCCTCCTTTGGGTTGATAAATACTATCCAAACGATTGGTTCACGGCCACGAAAGTGGATGACGATGAAAAGTATTTCGAGGTTGCGTCAATGATGGAAGAGCGCTCACAGCGCTGTCTTTGGCTGGGTTGTCGATTAGCAACATCGGGCAAGTGGTTGACTTACGACGAGGAAGCGAAGCAATTCGGCGTGTCGCCGCAATTCGATATAGAAATCCCTGATCTGAGCACCGATGTCACACCTGCGGGAGCATCTGAAGATGCCGATGTGATCATTCCAGATGCGCCTGACGCAAGCCAATGACGGTGGTGGACTGGTATTTTCCCTTGGTGGGAAGCGTTGCTATGGATTCTTTTGGGTAGAAATAGGGCGTTTCTCAGGCGTTTTGATTGTTTGTTTCTCCTGCTTCTGGTTTGTTTTCCTTTCCGCTGCAACGCTTCTCGCTTAGGTGAACCAGTCATCTGGGCTACATATCTGTTATCTCTGGCCGAAGCTTGGGCTACAGACCAGAGACGAAAACGATCTGCGAGTGCACACACGCGCAAGGCAGTATCGTTGTCACTCGCTCAACAATTGATCCGGCGAGTGCAAATTGGGGTATGGCTAGCGAGCCGCTCGCTTCTCATAAGTTGGAAAGACGTTGGGGAGAATTGCAACAGGTGGGTCACTAAGATTCCATTCTCAAAGTCTGCGCTGATTTTGTTCTCAAGTATATTTATATTGCCTGAAGTAGATATTTCAAAATACAATTTCGCCAGTATAATGTTTCCGTTATCTGATTCTGATGAGATGGCCGTGAATCAAGCCCGGGTGCGGGATGCAGTTCGGCCCGGCCCCGGCGGGAGATCGGCGCTGCATATGCCAACTGGCCGCAATTAAGTGAATCTGATCGATCGTGATTCTGCCACTTTTTGAAACTATAGAGACTTACTGTAATACAATGCTGAGTAGAAATGTTTCAGATTTGTACCGTATGTACGTACTCGGAACGGGTTAGATATCCCGTCGGCATTCTGGGGATCGGCACCGGAGTCTCTCTATAAGGGTCCGTTCAGGCCAATAAAATTACTCTATCCTCTTATGCACATGACTGTACGAATTCGGAACTTGGTGCAGAGACTTTGCAACTGTATGCAATGATTCGTTACGTAGTAGTTCATCGGGGCCTATTCGGATGAGGGACTGCTTAGATTCTCGTATAGATAACATCTGATTCTCACAATGCAGGCATGAAAGTTCGTGGCATCCCCCCTCCAGAGTTAGCCTGATCAACAGCTGGACACGCGCAACCTCTATGGGAACCTGCACGCAACGAACTAATATGCACCGACCATTGGTTCATCATTACCAAGGTGCCATCGATGTGAAATGTAATTTCACAAGGCAACCCACCATTGAAGTCAGACGTCGGTGACGATGCTACGCGTGATCCGAACCCAGCCACCGTATTGACGAAACCGTCGATATACGCCCGCAATTCTGCCCCCAACATACTTTCCCGGCCGACAAGGCGACTTCAATCCTACGCCCGGATGGGTTGGAGAATGGCGTGTGCAAGGTGTCGTAATTTTGCGGCGGAGCGAAAGGTAGATCTGGGGCTAATACGACCCTCGACCGGAAGGTACGGGACATGCACATGTACGAAACAGCACGATTTCTCATACCACTACGGACCGAATCTTGCAGCATTAGGTAGCGCACTTGCCGAATTACCTCGGGGAACTGTCAGCATAAGGCAAATATGCAGAAGAAGCCTTCTTCCTCAAACACACATCTCCGTCCGAGGTCGGGGGTGTCGGGTGGTTTCAAATACCCCGAAAGTCGCCGCGAGTTCAGGTCCAGTCCGGCGTTGCCGAACGGCAGACGTCCGTCAACCCGGTGTCTCCACGGGAACCATTCCGGGATGCTGGGAGCCAGTGGCACTGTTCAATTGATCTTACCAGCGTCCGGTTCCACGGACCCTGAATGCTGACTGCGCAGCGGGTATTCCTCCGCTTGGTCGTCCGAAACTAATTACTGCGTCACAAAGTGTTCCAACTTCCAGCTGCGGTTATTAGTGGTTGCCTCGCGTGCTTGGACACAGCCTAGCAGCTGCCTTGCGACGGATTTTGTGGGAACTCGGGCCCGGACAGGTAAGGTAGCTTTGGTTCAGCGTTGAGTCTCTTCCAAAGGTCGGAACTTCTCAGGTGCACTGAACTTCGCCATGCGCCGGACTTCATATCGCAATGGACTTATGTGCACCAATATCTAACTTTAGCATTGACTGATGATTACTGTGCTGGAAGGGTGAACTCCTTCGTGACGCGGCGGGGGCTTATGCTGCTTATACATATATCTATCCGTTGTGGGATTGATCGTCAGCTCACTAACCTCTCGAGACTTGTCAGCTTCGCCCGATCTCGCAGCCAACTGGTCCAAGGGATTTGGTGCGCCTTTTCAAATCCTTGGAGGACGAGAGGTAAGCCCAGAAGAAAGACCCGGTCACCGGTGGGATGCGGAATAGTCGCTATTTGACGAGCTGCATGTCATCAATCATGGGTATTATTCTATCTGGTAATTTGGTTTTAAAAGATGATTCTCTTTAATATGAAGTGTTTTGTCTCGCAATGCAGCCCATATCTCCCCCTGCAACCCCGATACGGGTACCTCATACAGGTTCAGGACGCCTCGTTTTGGAGCGATTGCCTAATGCCCTTGCAAGTCATGCCTTGATTATTGGTTATGCTAGTTAGACGAAGAGCTCTAAGTGCAACAAAGTTCGCATCTCAATCATCCCTGTGGCCCATGCTCTCCTCGTGCTACGCACGAGCATGAAACAAACGCGCCAACCGTCTTCGAAAACCTACTACAGTAGACGACCAGGCTGCGAGCAGCTCTCCAAATCTCACCGCATGTTCCATTCGCAACAAAGCACAATCTTACAAGGCAATGGCTACGTCCAGTTTAATCGACGACTGTTTACCTATTTCATAATGGCTTGATCTCTGCTGAGCTGCACTAAGCGCCCAAGGTGCTCTGGTGGTATTTCTCTTCGGTGTTTTCTCAAAGATTTGTATTGGGTGCCATCCAGCTCGAGATTTGAGGGTACCATCATTGCACTGTTAACGCCTGTTAACGCCCGCAGATCATGCAAGGCATGCACCTCTCATTGAATTGAGAAGCCACAAGACACAGTTCAAACCTCCATTCCAACTTCCTCGGTGAGGCATTTGTCATTCTGCGCGTCATTGTACACCGAAATGCTGACGTCTAGATGCACTGTCCAGGTGATAGGAACACCGTGATTCAACGATTTCAGACTTTAGAACTTGTTGAGATGAGCATGAGATTGCCGTTGTCATTAGGAGTGAACAAATTGGACATACTCGAGTTCGGTGATCAGCACAAGAGCTCATTAGAACAGATCGTGATCTCAGCCTCTCAGAAGAGCTTGCATCCGACTTCTCGACGAGGGGTTGGCTGCACAGCCCCAATGCAGCTAGCTGGCACCACGAGCCAGATAGCCACGGTGACCATGCAGCCTAGCGCGCAGGCATACATGCATGTATCCCGTTATGGTAATGCAAGTGTGTTCAACGATTTGTATATCATTGTCAGAATCGGCATGTTTCGGCCCAGAAACCCATAAAGGAGAAGATTCACACGCGCGGGAAATTCTCAGAAAACCATGGCAGCCTGGCGCCAGGCAATCTTCTAGATAATTCCTGTATGTATGCAAGCGATGCAGAGAGACGTAGGAGATTATCCTGGCGTTCAACTCTTACTGGTTCGCCTACTGACCGGTCTTCATAATCTGCCTGAAATGCGGGGATTCAGCGTGTAAATTCCACAGGCATCGAACCGACTGATGCGGGAGCCTGTCGCACGGTAGCCTGCAACCAGTATCACCCTTGAATGGGAAAGGGAGCGAAGGGCTTTTCCGACTTGCCGCGATTGGCTGGCCATGGTAGCCGAGAAATTCAAGTTTCCATACTGCGTGCTTTCTATGCCGAACACCAGAAGTACGATGGTGAAAGAGATGTGCATGTCAGATCATCAAGGTTGCTAGTGTTGAGCAAGTTTCGAGATATTACGTTTCAGCCAATGAAGTTTGAGCGAGTGAGATTTCTTGAAGCAGGCTGTGTGAGGCGTCACGTTGTGTACGCACATGGAAGGGTGCTAGCCTGCTAGGCGACAGAGGGATGTCGAGGTCATCCAATTGTCAGATCAAAATGTGATAGCGTTTTGTTTTTGTTCAAGTTTGAAGACGCCAGGGGTATTTAGATTTGATATGAGGCAAGTATTGAAAGGCTGCCATCACAATGATGGGATATTTACATGTTGTCAGACTGCTCATCTAGACTGGCATGGGAAAGCTCAACGTCAATGTGCAATTCATCGAAGACGCATGGGCAGAGGGTGTGATTCTCAGGTACTTCCACACCGAGATCTTTGAAAACGATTCAGGCTGTAAATTAGCCTCTATGTTTCTTGAGTCGTTGCAGGTTGCCTAACCCCGCCTTCTTAGATTGATCATGTCGTCGTCAAATAAGGTACGTGACGACAGGATGATTGGATTTTAAAATGAATGCTTTACGTCACGAGGTAGGGAAGAGCAGTGAAAGGCAGCTACACTAACGAGGGGGACGGTGGATAGCCGGGCAACCCTTCCCGGAGAATGGCAAATATAGTTCTGAGATAATCTGCAATTCCAAGCGGCATGGCTGATCTCTTTGCATTCAGTGTCGTACAGATAGCATTCGAGCTACAACACCAGGAAGAGACTGGGGTAGCAAAAGCGATTCTCGTTCCCAGGCATTGTATATAAGATGAGCATATCTCATGTGCGTGCACATATGTGCCTAGAAAACGACTCGAGACCAGGCTAAGACCGGGCTGCCGGGCTGAGGAGCAGCCGCATACTTAGGACAGTGTGCGTAGCCGTCACGGGAATGCTCGTGGTAAACAACAAGATCACGCACGACACCAAGATTGCGAATACATTCCAGATCTAGGTAGTTTTGACTCACAACCCTCTTTTCTCCTGGAAAGACAAATCGGAAAAAGGGGCAGGACGGCCCGGTCAGGCAACTAAATGGGCGTTCATGAGTCCAAAAACTGCCGCTTATGGTGCGGGATGTTGCATATTGGTGACACGGATTTGTTTCGGTCAAGAGCTTTCGAATTAAAGCGAAGAACGTTTTGGAATTCCCAATGCACACCTCCTTGGTGTGGTGTGGGCAAGCAGGCTGCGGCTTAAAGTTAGCACTGAGAGCGCCTCGCCACCGAAGGCATTAGCACTATCACCCGACTTTCGGCGACCAATCTTCCTTAAACTATGGGTTTAGATGGGGATAATTATTTGCACTTGGTACTACAGAATATGTAAGAAACATCAGATATTCTGCAGAGAAATGGTGGTGTGATTGGAAGGGACTGAAGGGCACACTGTTGAAAGGTTGGCACATCAGGCTCTGTTGTGATCCAATAATACTGATTTGTTCTACGCCAGCTCATTATTATGTTTCGTTCAATGATTAGGAACCTTGTACGAGACAACAATGGCAAGACACTCCATGGCGAAGACATAAATCGTTCAATGGTTTTCAGAATACTAGAAGGATTGAAGTCGAAGTTTAACTCTACAAACATATCAACATTGGATCATTCTCTGAATATAACGATCTGGGTTAAAGATTCACATGGTTCCATGAAGTTTTAATTGAATACGAAGACAAGTTTCGATAGAATTTTCAAACCTCGTGAGCCCTGGAACAAATTTGTAAACGCAAGTTCTGTCCGGAACTATCGTTGTTGAACTTTGCATGGCCGCATGAAAACCAGAGGTAATTTAGGCGTCGTAATGTCTCAGAGTGATGCAATGTCTCAGAAGAGGGATTCAGTATATCTAAGCACTGATTTATTAGACAAGGCGGTCAACACCGCAGCTCAGGGCTTGGGATCAGATGGGGGAGGGAGGTCAGTTTGCGGGTGGTTCAAGATTCAAAACTTGTGATTGAAGAAAAATAGGAAGCATAACGATTATGAGAAAGTCTTCACTACCTATGTGCAGAAAACAATCAAATGTTGGCTAAACTCGCGCATGTATGATCTGAAAACATGTATAATGCAGAGTTGCAAGCTCAATATTGCTCAATATTATAACAGCATTACTAGTTTTGAACAACTCTAATCTTGGAATATTGACGAGAACTACACGAGATATCGAAAGGAAAGAAATTCATTAAGCCAAACTTAATGTTACTTCATAGTGCTCGAGGCTCCCTGATGAGAAAATTGAATTGTATATAAGCTATTTTACCCTCATATCACTTGAAGTTATTTTCATGGGAACTTGATTTGAATGTGATCCATTAGGAGGCGATCTTTGTGCTAGACAATCGACTTAGCTCACATACACTTGATCGAGGACAATCTAAAATACGCTTAGTGGATGTAGGCTTACCGAAATACTCATGGGTGACATAACTTGACCATTACGACGCTGTAGATGAAAATCAGTCGTGTTTTGAGTGGATAGTGTTGACATCTTACAACAGCAACATTTGAAGCCGGTTCTCATATGCTTTACCTCCTAATTCACTCCAAATACCCGAGTTTGAGTAACATCTAGAGAGCAGAGAGTGCCATACTGTCTTCGTATTTGGCAAATGGCTGCATCTGGAGGCTTTAAATGAGTCGTCATGACTTGTGCTGAATTGCTGTAAAGCTTCTTTCATTCAGTATTTACTGAAGTCCATTTACAACACCCTCTCCGACGTTGGTATTTCACAACAAAGTGCGTTCTCAACATCTTGCCACAATCAAAATCTTCACGTTTCAAGGCGATTGAAAGAGAGAGATGTTTTCGACAAGCCCGTCCTTTTACATTTTCTATCTACCCGTAAAAGAGACCAGAGGCCTGAGGTACCTCACATCACACGGCGGGCACGATTAGTCGTCGACTTCTAGATGGACGACGAGCTCCCGCCCTGGATAGAGTAACAGGAAAAGAAGAATAGTCTGAGCGACCTTGTTGCTGCCACGAGGGAAAACAGAAACAAGGAACCTGCCTCGAGTTTCCTCCCTTGGCCTCGTCGCTTCTTTCCTCCACCATATTGTTACAATTGCGTCTTCTTCCACCCAGAATTTCCCCATTCCACAAAAAAGCCATCGCAACAATTATTGCAGACTCAGAGCAAAGACCAACAAGCACAGATTCATCGAAGAATATGTCAAACGAGAGCGAGGAAGATGAGAACATCGCTCTCGCAGCGGAAGGACGAGTAGAGGTCATCGAAGGAAAGTTCAGGGAACTGAACATCCCTCTCAAATTCAACTACGAACGTATCAAGGCTGCGAGCAGACAAAATGGCGAAATCACTGATCCACCAGGGCCGCGACTCCGTTTCGACTGCATGGTTCGCCTGGTGTGTCGACTTCAACGTATGGGACTACATCCGAGAAGTGTGAGTACTCGCAGACATCAAGTCCGAACCCTTTTGCTAACGTTCTTGAACTGCCTTCTAGTCGCCAAACATGGCGATTACGAGACATTCCCGTGGATCGACCTCGAACCGGCCGTGAAGCCCAAGACCCCCGAAGACGCCTCCGCCTGGTTCAACGGCGAAGGACGCCATCAAGCAAACGTACGACCTTCCCGCCCTGGAGCGGAAGAAGCTGGGCCTCACCTTGATGAGACCGGAAAAATACCTTGTGCGTGACCACGACAAAGTCGCCGCGCGTTTACGTGAAGACACTTGGAACAACGTCTTCCCCGGAAGAGTGCCTCCCCACGGCATCGCCTTTGAAGTCATCGTTCCATCTGCCGTCAAGATGTCCTCGGATCTGAAGTGGGACCTGACCCATCGAACACATCATGTCCCGGATAGAGTCAAGATTTCCACGGTTGGACGAGTTCACCGCCGCGGCCACTTTGTCATGGCGATGGTTCTCGGTTATAACCGTGGCGTCGTTGACGACCCGGAGAGCAGATTGATCCTGGCCAAGACGTACGATATCTTCTTGAAATGGGCCGTAACGATCATCATCACCGGCAGAAGCATGAAGCTTACCAGAGCTCTCAAGAACTTCGTTTTGCCGCAGCCTAATCTTGACGTTGGTGGAGAGGATACGATCATGGGAGGCACGGGAGACGAGATGGAGCTCACGCGGGAGCAGCTCGCCCTCTGCGCTGAAGAGTTTGATGTGGTGCCGTTGACTTCCGTTCCGGACTACGCTGTTTTCCGGCTGAGCGAGTGGCTCCACCGGGAGGTTGGCCGCACGTCGGCGGAGGACCGTTGCCGATTGCTACGGGAGTGGTGCCAGCTTGAGGATGGCAAGTTCCACCAGAACCTCGAGGAATGACTCGAGAGGACCTGCAGAAGGCTTGTCATGAAGCGTGGATGGAGAAGACGGATAACTGGAAGGAAACGCTTGACGTCACGGTGTGGTCGTGGACTGAGGAGGTTTACTGGGCGAAGATTGCAGAGCCGTTTGGCGCTTGGTGAGATGATACCCGGATGAGGGAGAGGAATCATGGTACTTATGTTCATCTTCTTACTAATGGCATGGCACTCTGTTGAGTTCTGAGCAAGGACAGAAAGGGGCGACGCATAAGTCAAACTGTGGAATCATGAAGGCCGTTTTGTATTGAGTATTGTATCAATCATGTCTATTATTCACCAAACCACGCTCTCCATCCATTTTTTCCCACTCCAAAAAACAGGCCACCACACCTCAGATGACATTCTTCAACGACTGACTAGCACGGAACCGCCTCAAGTTATACGCAATCAACGCCTCCGCGCCCTGCGGCCTTCCGCCAGCAGCATGCGGCGAGACAACGACATTCGGCGCCTTCCACAACCGGCTCGACTCGGGCAACGGCTCGGTAACAAACACGTCCAGCGCCGCGCCGCCGACCTCGCCGGCCTCGAGCGCGTCCACGAGCGCCTCCTCGTCAATCGTCAATGGACGCCGCGGCCGACGTTGACGATCCACGCGTGCTTGGGCAGCTGCTTGAGGCGCGCGGCGTTGAGCGCGTTCTTGGTGGACTCGGAGCCGGGGAGGATCATGACGAGGGCGTCGGTCTCGGGGAGGAGCTCGGCGAGCTTGTCCTCGCCGTAGACCTCGACGCCGTCGCGGATACCGGCGTTGCGCGCGACGCCCTTGACCTGGGCGCCGAGGCCGCGGAGGTGCGGGGTGAGCGACTTGGCGATGTTGCCGAAGCCCCAGATGAGCACGCGGGCGTCGCGGAGGGTGGTGCGCGGGGCGGTCGGGCTGCGGGCCGCCGAGGTGGCCGGGCCACTTTGACTGGAGCTGGTAGTCGCGCATCTCGTAGAAGCGGCGGGCGGCGTTGAGGAGGAGGCCGAGGGCGTGCTCTGCGACGGTGTGGTCGTGGAGGCCCGAGCCGGTGGTGACTGTGACCTTGGAGGTGTCGAAGCCGGCAGAGAGGACGTCGTTGGGGCCGGCGGCGAGGGACTGGATCCACTTGATGTTCTTGAGGCGGGCGGCGGCGTCCTTGAGGTTGTCGGCGGAGTTTGTCCAGGTGACGAGGATCTCGGCGTCTGTGTGCTCCTCGGGGATGGTGGTCTTGACGTCGTAGGGGACGAGGTCGACGGAGAAGCCCTGGAGGCTGTCGACGTCGAGCTTGAGGGAGGTGGGGTAGAGGAGCTTCATGGTTGTGACGTGTGTGGTGTTGAGGGTTTGTGAGATCTAGAGGTTGGCGTGTTAGTGATGTTGGTTCCCAATTGGAAGCTTGGGGAGGCACAGGAGGCTCTTACATTATGAGGGGTATGAGAGGTATGAGGGGAAACTGAAGAGATCGTGAAGAAACATCAAAGAAACGAGAGCAATCTGGAAGAAAATGAGCGAGGGGTCACGTCTGGTTTTACCTAACCTCGGGGCAAGGCATACCGATGACGGAGAGACCGCGATCCAATAGAACACAATGCGCGCGACAGCTTCCGTGTAAGCGGGGGTAAATGGACACTCCAAGGACCATGGACGGGCTGGATGGGTGGGATGGTGGGGGAACAGCGCCAAATCCGCACCAAGTTCCCACTCGCCCACTCGACGACGTCAAAAAACGAAGCCATCCGGGCTTGTCGTTGGCGTCGTCAAGGTGGGGGAGGGGGCGGGGGAGGGGAAAGAACCCCGAACTTGGCTTGCTGACATGATCCCAGCAGCCATTTGCGTGATGGCAAGCACCGCAAGCTCACAATGATGGCCCCTCTATTAGAGAGCAAAGAGTCCCCAGAGGCCCCCAAATTTACCCAGATTGTCCAAGATCCCAAACTAAAGTAGCGCATTGCATGTACACAGTACTGACTCGTCTCATAACCCGCAACCTTCTGCGTAGCAACACGTGTAGACGTGGAGTTGAGTTCGGAGAAATTTGCTACTATTGGACGAAAGCGTGGCCTTTTTTGGTCACTTTGGACCAGCGCGCCCGGGTTTCAGCGGCTATTGAGCGGCATAAACACCGATAGTTGCGGCAACTCACCGGATACTTTACCGTTCCATATCCGCCACGGCGAAACGCCTCTTGGGGGGTTAACCAGGGAAGCTGGCTCTCTTTTTTTTGGGATGACATTGTTTGGTCGTGTGATTTGCGATTGCTCTGAATCTAATTCTGGCTATCGAAAAGTCAAGTCTAGATTCCCTTTACGGCTTTTGATCGAACTTCTGATTGCCGTCACTCTTTTTCGACGTCTTGACGTCTCCAATGAGTTTCGGAGAACTTTCTGCAATACCCCAAACTTGGACAGAGGCCCTGGCAATGGCTTTCGGTTCGGCCTCCAAAGCTTGAACACCCATCAAGATTTCCTGGTTTAAATAGGTAACTTGGGTTGATTGCCGAAATCCGACATGCGCAATGATGCACTACATTCAGTCAGATCCAATGTCACCCTAGCGTCCTTAGCTCCGCGGAATCAGGTGGTATTGTCTCCATCCATCGCCTTCTCCATATGAACAAGAAACTCAATCTACCTATAGCTGAATACTCTCAAGTCGGCCTTCCAAATCTCGGTTTGAAAACGAGTGCGAGAGACTCTGAGACTCTGAGGTTCACTTTAAGTTGGTGCTCGTAGCCACTCATACTAGGGAACAGCGTGAAACTTCAGACCTAGGTCTTACCGTGGGCTCGGGTGTCACAGCGATTCCTCTCCTCATGAACCTACCTCGTGTCGTTGAGGTTATCAGCAAAGTCTAGATGACTGGATTTTCTGCAAATCGCCGGAACCCTTGGAGTAGCTCAGGTGATCTTGCTATAACAAATATCTATCACTAACAAAACGGGCAATCATACTCTCGGCATAGCAAAAGTCTTCCCAACCCTCACACACATGTCCATTTCCATGAGCCTGTACTTGGGCAAATTAGCATGATAGACATCACAAATGTTTCAAGGCCAAGAAGGCGGAGCATTCGTTTGGGCTGATTATTTGAAGCCTGACTTTTTGCTCGTAGGCCCTATAGATCTACTGGTTGCTATCTTCGCCCTCAGTGGCGGAGCTTGCATTCTTTTGGCAAGGGCCATTCCTTTCCAGCCAAAAAGAAGGTGAATAGTAAGTCCAACCACTTTCCGTCAAGCTTTTATTCCTACACGTAACTATACCAACCCTACCTCCAAAGATTGCTTGAATGGCTGTCATCGCGGCAGCCTTTCCCAGCCAGTCTTTAAAGAACTCCTTGGCGTAAACCTTGGGAAAGGATGCGCCTCTGTATTGAACACGACCTCTGTTAATGGCATGTAGTCCGTCGGCGAGAACAGCAAGTATAAATACTTCAGAGTCTCAGCCTGCAGTCGGCAACGTCAGCTCAAAGTCTACTTCTTATGTAACTTTGTCTTTCGACCACTTGATATATCACTTACCAGCCAGAAACTCTCCATATTATCCCTCGTCGCCGCCGGCACCGTCCGTACATCATTCATACTAGTGTACCCCTCTCCGTCGGGCACCAAAGTATGCTTCTGGAACGATTGGAAAATCTTCCAGCCCCATTCTCGGTACATGGCATTGCCAGTGATGCGGTACATCATGAACAGACTCTCTACCGTCTCGGGTCTTTGCAGGTTGTGAGCGTCGAGGGGCTTGATGATGAAGTCCTTTTTCCACTTCGACAGCGCTAACCATTCTATTAGCACAAGGGTCTTTTGCTTGGAAAGGTTGGAAGAAAGTCGTCAACGTACAATTGCTTTCTTTTCGCAACCACCTGTCGCCAGGTCCGGGCTGTAAGTCTGCTTCTGTGGCGTTGAACCATGTAATCTCAGGAGCGAGACCAGTGTCAGTGACGGCATACATGCCCCAACAAGTGTTCATGATCTCGATCGCGAGTTCAATGTCGTCTTCATGCTGGGGCGTCCATCCCGAATCGCGGCGGGCTTCCGCAAGGGGCCGCCTTCTGTAGCCTGTCACGGTGAGGATCAGCCCTAACCTAACCCTAACCCTAACCCTAACCCTAACCCTAACCCTAACCCTAACCCTAACCCTAACCCTAACCCTAACCCTAAGTAACCGTCCAAGAAATCAGTCAAGTTCTTGGCGACCGCTCTTATGATGGAATTAGCACAGGCATCCTCCGGCAGCTGTTGACAGCCGTGATGACGTGCAACCTGTTTGAGTTTGATGGGACCTTGTACCACCAAACGGAAGGCGTAGCTATGGGCACCTCTTGCGCCCCAGCTTTCGCAAATCTTTCGCTTGGCTTCAAGGAACGAAAAAGTCAGATGCTGAACATGTCACGAACCGGCTTGAGGTTCTATGTTCGCTACATTGACGACATTTTTCTCATCTTCAAAGGACCCAGACAGGACCTGGAGAAGTGGTTGTCGGAGTTCACTCCACACCTTGCGCCCTACGCTATCTCCTGGGAAATTCGTTCATCTCGCCAAGCGACGCCGTTCTTAGACGTAGAATTCTTCTTCCGGCAAGGGCAAGAATCCGCGGGGTTACAATCTCGGGTTTTTCGCAAGCGTATGAACAAACATCAGTATATCCCCTGGTCATCTGCACACCCGGAAACGGTCAAACGAGCCTTCGTTAAAGCAGAATTGACTCGCTTCATGACAATCAATTCCACCCAAGAACTCTTTGAGGAGAGAGTTCGTGAATTCATGACAGCATTGAGCCGGCGAGGATACCCGGCTGACATATTATCACGATGGCGACATATGGTGGACTACAAGGACCGACCGGCTCTACTCTGGAAACGGAAAGAGTCGCGCCCAGGACTACCCTTGATGCTACCTTCGTCATACGATGAAGTATGGGAATACGTGGATGTTCGGAGCGTACTGAAGACGATGAGACAGACCTGGAGCAAGAATGGCACTCTGCCACCTTCCCTCGATGGCCCACTCATCAAATCCCTCAGACGAACAGAGAGCCTTTTCGATAAGATCTCTGCATGGAACAAGGTCGTGCTACGACAGCCTCCTAAGTCGGAAGCCTTGGAAGTTTGAAGTTGCCTTTGCAAAGAGGTGGCCGCAGGGATGCGCCCTTAAAAACTGCCAAACCGCCTCTAGTAGTGCGCTGCAAAGTTCGCGAACGGACGGGGAGGTGCCATACAACCTTGATGGAAGAGTTAGTTTTTGACTGCCGCGAGATACCGTCCACTCCGAAAAAATTATGCCGGGCTAAGGAAACGGCGGCACGAGATGCCGGCCCCAGAGGATCAAGCATACCCCGCCCTCTTTCTAACCTCCCGAACCTCTACCGCCTAACCAGACGGTGTCAGCTTTGCAGAAGACCTGGCCCGAGCTTGTCTCGGAAAAGGCCTCCGTTTTCATCCGGTGCCTCGGCGCACGAGCCACCGCCTTGATTACGTGACCGGAGTTTTAGACCGGAGCTTTCCTGTGGAATGTCCGTGTTGACCCGACGGCCAGACCATTGCACCGACTCCGGGTGGGGCAGGCCCACAGTAGGTGGAACATCGTACGACGACCCACCGGCGGATTGCAGGTTCAGCGCGTATTTAACCAGCCGCCCACCACTCTGCATTGTTGGAATGCAGGTGAACGGCACAGCTGCAGGAACCCAGACAGCAATCGGAGGGACCAGACCTCCGACTCATGCTTAAAGGGAACCAACAGCTTGGCGTGCTACTTACCCAACAAGTATTTATGTCCCTGATGAGCCTTCAAGGCGAAACACTTCTGTCGTTCTTTCGAACCAGGACCGTGTCGGACTTTCTTGTTGCTCATCAGTTTTTATCTCCTCCCGTGGAATCCAATCACATCTAACCCTAACCCTAACCCTAACCCTGTTACTTAGTACTACCCGCTATCCTCGCAGATATTTAATACTACTAATACTCCGATTATTACGCTCTTTTTCTAGCTCTATTTATATAAGTCCTTAATAATAATAATAGTATTTAAATATATCCTTTTAACTTCTTCTGCCTATACGGGCTACTAGCTACCAGTATTTACCTCGACGCGGCTAGTAAATATATTTTATAATAACCCCTAATATATAGTAAACTAGTATAGTAGCCGCTCGCACTTTAGCTACTCGTTTATATAAAATTATATACTTATTATTTTATACTAAACCTCTTTATACTACTATTACGTGTTATTTTTTATACAGTTGTTAAATAGCCATACTAGTTTCTAGCCAATCTCTTTTTACTCTACCTTAAATAATATATTATACCTAACCTTATGCAGTACTACTATAGCGCGTACTTTATTAGTAACGTTATTAAATACGGCTTATACAAACTATAATATTTCTTTACTATCCTTAATTAGTCGCGTAGCCTTTTATAACTACGTCTTATTTAATCTTTTTAAATCCTTTATTTACTTAACGTAATATAACTACTTATTTAGCTTTAACTTTTTATTTATTATACTAACCTTTTTTTATACATCGGTTTTAAACTACTTTTTTTAGTTCTTATATAATATAACGAACTATACTATGTTATCCGTCCCTAGCCCCGATAACTCGCTTCTAACGGCCACCCCCAACCCCTACCTAACCTCAAACCATTAGCTCCTAGCGCGCGATAAAAAAAACTACTAGTATAGTACCCTCGTTATCTATAGTAAATCCCTTACTACTATAGCCCTCTTTTATATATTACCTCCCTTTTACTAATTATTCTACTATTTATATTCTACTTAATAATATTTTTATATATTCCGCACGCAGCGGTATATATAATAATATAAATAATAACGTAATTTATTAACTTAAGCTAGTACGATATGGGCAATAGGTTTAATTATAACGTCGGGGTAATAAAACAACTCTAATTTAGTTTAGCTATAAATAATATTAGTTATATTACTAATTACTCTAGCAACTTTTATCCTAGCCTTAGTAATAATTAACTAATAATAATTACGTAAATAAGCTATAACTTCGTTAGCTACGACTATATACTTATATAACGTATATATTAAAATAGAATATTACGTATTATAAACGAATAGCTCTATTTTTAGCTATACATATTAGTTACTTTTTTCTATTTACTGTTTACAACTAATTCCTTTTATCCTTTTTTTATAATCCTACCTTCTTACCCCTTAATTTTATATATTTTTTTCTTAATCTACTTTACTCCCTACTTACGTTCTATTACTCAGTCAGGTTCTCTAGCCTACTAACGACCTTATTATATAATTAGCTAGTAAATGCGAGGACTAGGACAATATTATAAAACTATTTACTATCCCCTTCTCCTATTTCTAAACTCAAATTATAAAATATAATACTAAAAACTAGATTCCCATAATAACCCGGTTTATAATTTTAATTATATACTACTTTTATTTATTTTATTGCTAGGAATCTCTATAGCTTTATACCTCTTTTATGTGCCGGCTTTAACCCCCCCTCTCCCTAGCCCTACTTTTAATTCTAGTAATGGCCGTAACGGCTTTAATACATAACTATCGCCCACGTAATAATAGTGAACTTAATTTTATAATAGTTAATATATTATTTAGCTTAGGTAATAAATTATTATAAACCTCTTATTAATTATATAAAATATTATAAGCTAATACTTATATTTTTACTTTTTTAATTACTTAATTATTAAGAATATATAGCTTATTATAAAAATATATTTTAATTTATTTTTATATAATTTTTATTTAGTATATATAATATAAAAAGTTATAGCTTTAGTTCGTATATAAAGTATTTTATTATAAATATATTTAAAATTAGTAATACCGTATTTAAATTTCCTAAGCTACTTATTTACTATATAATTATAGTATTTTTTATTTTTTTATTTTTTAAAAATAGATTAAGTTAAATATTATTAGATAAGATATATTATTATAGTTATTATTAAATTTATAAGTTAAAATAGTAACTTAATTAGTTATAATATACTAATTTATATTTATATATACTATTATTTAATAATTATTAAATAACTAGTTAAAAGTAAATTAGTTTTAAAATAACCGTACTTATTATTAAATATATTATTATTAATATTAATTAACTCGTAATTAATTTTTAATAAGCTTATTTATTTTTAACTTATTATAATATATATAGTATTTAGGTTATTAATCGTTATTAGACCTTAATCCTAATTATTATAACCCTTATATTTTATTAGTACCGAATTTTTTTTTATATAGAATTAATCGTCGGTAGGCTATTAACGTAAATAATGGCTGTTAGGAGGTAATAACTAGGGCGATAGATAGGTTAAGTTAATAATTATATACTAATAGCCGTATTTTGAGATATTATAATAATAAATATCTAAGTAAGTAGCGCGGGTCTTATTATTATAAAATAGTCTGGGCTTTTAATAATTTAAAATAATGACTTGATAGTCTTGTAATTTAAAGCAAAACTAAGCTATGGGTAACGGCGTTGAGAGAAGCAGCCATTTGTATAGTTGCGAAATACCCTTGGGTATCTTTAGTAGAAAGCTGGGTTGAGGCAGACTGGAGCAGGGATGCCACAAGACTAAGCTGCATGGACTTGCGCAAGTCCTTGTTTGGATAGGAGGATGCGACTTGGTTAACCACCTTGGGGACGTCTAGGCTCGAAAGATGCTTCTGCAGAGGTGGGCCTGGCGTGATGGTAGGCGGGACGATGCCCTGAGATCCTAGTACCTGGATGTAGTTGTTGAGGGAGTCAATAATCTCCTGATTGGACTGCTGGGCTGCCTCAATAGAAGATTGGTCCTGTAACAGAAACGTGCCGAGGTTCTCAAGACTCGTGATAGCGCCGCTGATACTTAACATCGAGGTCCAGAATGCGTTGAGGGTGCCGTAGTTCTGAGCGAGGTTGGTGAAGCTGCCGGAAATGGTGACGAGCAGGCTCTTTGACTGTGTTAACGCCTGGATGGATGTCGACGTGGCCGCAATCGCGGCCTGGCACTTGCCTCTTTCGGATGCTAGAACACCAATTGCAACTACACTGCCGACGACGAGGATACCGCCGAGCAACCACAGCCCGGGAGCCAAAGGCGGGAAGAAGAAGCCCGCAATGACCATTCCGAGACCGACGATGAAGGCGCCAACTGCCGCCCAAATGCCTGCCGTCAAGGCTTTCTCCTGGGTCTCAAGGGCGCTCAGTGTTGCCTGCAAGTCCGTGATTTGCTGTCCAATATTCGCGAGTTGGTTCGCGATCGAGTTGTTGATTTGGGAGGTCTGACGCGTCATATCCACGACCATCTGGTTCGCGGCCTGCAGACTAGTCGAAAGCATCTTCCCCATGACCTGTGCATGCTGGATGGCGACCTGGCCCTCGCCATTGGCAATCTGTTCTTTGTCTGCGGGAGTGGTCGCATTCGCCCAATCTCGGGCCGCCTGGAGAAGGTTGCTCAGGTACACCTTGTGGCTGGCGCAGAAACCTTGAATCTGGTTGATGTACGGGAAGAGATTGGTTTGCGTAGTAACGTACTGTGACTTGAGGTACGTGGTGAGGTTTCGCAGATTAAGGATAACACCCGGGGACGCGGCGCTCAGGTTGGTGACACCACCTTGGGCAATCGATTGGTTCCAGGTGACGGTTGGGGGCGATGCGTTGTCTTTAGGTGGGTTGATGATTAACTCGTACAGAAAGCCATCGTCGGCAAGTATGATAATCCCCGTGTCCACGGCTGTAAAGTCTTTGATCTGCTTCGGGGACTGGAATGTCTGCCCGACAGTATAGCCAGTCAGAGATCCCGAACCAGCCAGGGCCGGCTTGATCTCGTGGATCACATTGGCAGCGTCATGTCCCCAAAGAGAACCATTCCAATAGGCAATCTTGAGGAGGGCTGGCATTGGGATGTTGCCCACGGGCAGCAGAGGCTGGAAGTTCATGTTCGCCGCGATTGCGCCTTGTGCCCAGCTTAAAGTGCCATCAGAGGCAAGCTTGATCAGTGCCGAGTACGTCGTGGTCCCGTCTGGGGCGACATTGTTGTAAGGGGCAAGGCACAGGGAGTCTCCAACGGGCAGACAAGAGCCTAGTGGTTGCCATCCGGGGTAGAACATCTGCGACCAGTTGTCGACGGCTGCCATGGCCAGGGATGGGTCGCCGGGGGGCTTAGGGGTCTTCTGCCACACGTTGGGACCGACGGCGACAAAGAATATTCCATTGTACGAAAACAGGGCCGCCGTGTCTGTGCCGGAGGGGCTTGCCGGTAAAGTGTCCAGGAGCGACCATGCCGGCTGGGTCTGCGATGTGGCAGGATCAAGAGTCACGGCCATGTACTGGACCGTGTTGTCGAGGATACCAACTGCCGGAACGGACTCCAACGTAGCGGAGAATTGCTCGATGCCAGCAAGACCCAAAATCGAATTGAAGTTACTCATAATGTCCTGGATAGAGCCGGACATCGTACCTGCGACTTGGGCAACATTCCTCAGGTTGTTCTGAGTGGCGTCCTGGAAGCTCTGGTTGGGATCTTGGACTCCTGCGAAGTCGAGAGCTTGGCTGTCCTGCTTCGGAACTCTCTTCTTGGCATCCTCATGCTCCTCCAGGGATTGCCGAATCATATTTTGAACAAGTTGGATTGTTTCCAGCGACTGCGGCAAAAGATTCGTTAACAAGTGTATCTTGGAATTGGGCTCTTGAGTTCATGGCCTACCTCCTTCTTAGCCTGCTCAGACTCATAAACGTCGTCATCAGAGAGTTCGGAAACGTGAACCGCCTCGGCGCTCACCCTGGATTTGAGATCTCTCAACCCCGCAGAGGCTTGGCTTAGTGTAATGACCATTTTGAATGGGGGGGTTTTAGGAGAAACTCGGTGGTAAAGCTTGGGAGTATTATGAAGTCGATGCGCAGAAGGGGCTGAAGCTGAAGGAGCAGATGACACTGTAAAGGATAGCCATGGGTTGTGTGTATTCTTATACGTCCAGGTAACCGTACGACGGTGATGTGCCACAAGCAGGGCGCGAGCATAATCATGAGTGATTGACGATTTACCGTTTGCAACCCTGAGGTTACTCGGTCTCAGCGCCAAGGCGAAGTAGAGAATCAAAGGATCGTTCCTCTTGGAAATTCCCTCAGTCTCAAAGCATTTTGACGGAACGGAATTCCCAAAGTCGTCGCCCAGTCAGCTAATGCACTTGTCTGTTGCTGACCTTGGTCCCTGGCGGCATATGTCTCGTGACAACGTTTACCTCTTTGGCATGGGTAATAAATCCCGGAAAAACTAGTAGATGGGGAAACGAAGCTGAGGCATCTTGTCCTGAAGACTTTGTGCCGGGAACGGTTACAAGCTGGCCTAGTGTGACCAAGTCATCTGTCTCGATAGCTTTAGGCGTCAGTATCAAGGTACGCTCTTGCGACAAGAGTGACCGCATTTGGGGGCTTGGAACGTCTATGCTCACTAAGACCCTCAATTAGCCCTTAGCTTCGGTCAGCTGAACTAAGACCAAAGGCCTCCCACCGCTACGCCTGTGTGGCAACGGGACGCATCTGGGAATGCCAGGTTTTAGACAGTTTTGGGTCAGCATTATCGCTATGGTTCTAGTATTTTAGCTTTTGCTTCCTAGCTCTAGTTATGCAGTCCATTCTATTCTGGTTTCAGCCAAGAGCATGGTCGGCAGTGCAATCAATTATACCGCCGTATAAAAAGATCACCGGTCGAAGGAATGTAGTCGTAGCGGCCCGTTCCTTTACCTTCTAATTGAACTGGACTAGTTCAAGCCATGATCTGATTATGTCTCTTGGTACCCACAGTGGCTCGCTCCTAGGCCCGTGCCTCATTTGGTCAGCAAGGTCTCCATGAGATTAACGTGATAATTAGACCAGGGCCCCTACAACTCTCAGTTCACGAGCCGTCCGAGAACATCTGCATAGCTGTCAAGAAGACGATGTTAACAAATGAGAGATTATGAAAGACGTGTAGACTCCTAGCCGCTTGTTAGCCACGCGCTAATGCGCAGCTGAGGTGACATGTCTCAGCCGCAGATACAACGCCCATCTGCGCAATAGACGTATGAATCCGGCTCGTGCTAACAGGCGAGCCTGGCGGTTCGCTTCAAGGCATGGCCCGCTAGGGAGTCGGATCCGGCGAGCCTGTCATGCTTTCTTGTGGATGCGAGGGAGGGTAGACGACGGTTCTTCCCTTGATCCAGTCGCCGCTTCCCTCCTCCCTGCCGCATCGATGGGTGGATACGTATACCGTGGAACGATACACAGAAGTGGTAGGCTTGGCGGGAGCATAGGATTCTCCCAGGGATATTAAAACTCTTCTGCCTGCAGTTTGTCTGTCGGATCCGGTCACCCGGTAACGGCAAAGATATGCAAAGTCATCTTCTAGGTCGGTGGCCGAAACAGGCCGGAGGTAGTACAGTTGTTGCGACCTCGGATAACCCTTAGCCTAGAGCATATCTTAAGAGAAATCTACGCCAGTCGCCAGTCCTGTTGCTAGAGCCATAACCGCCACTGGAAATACATTCATCAAGAGGTGAGTAGCCAGGAAACAGCCTTCTAGTCCCTGATCTCTCACGGCTAGGACCGATTCCCGGAGCCAGACGCGTACAATGCCTCTAGAAAACCCCTGCAACGCCGAATGTTTCTATTGGACCGCCGTGTCGGGCCATTGCTCGTACGCCGTTAGAGCCTCAGATGAGATGAGTGTACGCGGGGGCCCGCTTGTGCTGGATTTAGTCACGTCTTTGCAGTCGGATGAGTGACTTGGCGAGTTGCAAGAGTATATAGCTCCGGTGTCTCACAGTGGTCTGACTTTGGAGAGCTGACAATTGAGGCTGGCTGATGGGAAGACAGGCTCGGACTAATGTATGTCATGCCTGAACTGGCTTGAAGTCACACATAGGCATTCGTCTCAGTTTAATGTCTAGGAAAGCGTTCTTGGCTAGAAACAGTGCGAAATGGTATACCTTCTATAATTGAGTTAGACTGGACTCTTGTACCGGGCTTTTAGGAGACACCCTTAGAACCGCGTTGTGACCCTCGCCGGCTACCTTGTCACACCGCTTCCCTCGCCAGCTGTGTCGTAGCCGGTCTGGAATCTCACCCGTCTTACTTCGAGAATGGCGCCGCATCCGACATATTAGGCACATTGTCCACGGCCTCGTGCACCCAACGGGACAATTTCCTAGTGCATTGCCCTTCGCCCTTTCTGAATTTGGTCTACCGCTCTGCCTCTCCGGCCGGGGTACCCTCGCCTGCGTGATCGCTCATCCTGCCTCGTCTGCTTTTTTCTGTACCGTTACGAGCTGCGTGATGTCGTCGGCTCCCGGCTAGACTGCACGCTGAGGTAATATTTCAATTGCCAATGGCGAGTGAAAGACTGGTGGAGGAGACATTCAAAAGCTGCGGTTTTTGTGTTGTTCGAGACCCTAGCGAATGTATGGAAGGACTGACGCAAGGATGGATTGGCCCGATCTCCTCCAAGAGCTGGGTTTGGATGGTTCGTTACCTAAGCCCTCAGCGAACCTTGTGTGGAATCTGGTCAGTCTACCTTCACTGCGAATGCCCCGGATTAGTGGCAAGTCCGAGGGGTGTGTGTTAATTATCCACCGAAGAGGGGGTCTCCCCACGGCGCTTACCCCGTCCATCCGGCTTAATCTTCGTTACTTTCATGCCAGCTCCCGTCCGCCTTGACGGTCTATTGAAAAATTGCGCAAGGCGGGCTTCCGCCTCTGCTTACCGAGATTATCGACGGCATCTAGCGATACCTTAAGTCGCCTGACGTACTGGGCCTCCAGTCTATATACTAGGCCCTAGCTAATAAGATATTAGGCCCTTTTCTATATCGCTTCTTCTTTACGTACCGTACTATACTTAAACGCTAGAGCTTTAAAAATCCTATTAATAATCTTTATTATCTAGTTTTAAATAGTATTATATAAGTTATTAAGCTTATAATATTTTTTTAATTACGCTTTAATATAATATAATCCGAGCGGATTATAATAAATATAAAGTTAAAAATAAGTATAATTTTATTTAGCCTTATAATAACTAAATTATATTATTTGATAATAATAATTATAATCTTATTAATAATAAATATTGAGCTAAAAAGGCGGTTATAAAAGGTTCTCTAAATTAAACTTATAATTAAATACTTAGTTTAAATATTATTAAAACTTATTTATAGTTAAGTTTTAATAATTAAAAATAGTATTTATTTTTAGAAAGCTTTTAGCTTCGTTATTATATTATATAATAACTTATAATATATAATAATAAATATACTAAGTATAATAAAGTAGTTTAAACTTTTAAATAAATATAAACTAATAAAAAGGTTTATAAAAGGATATAAGTATATATACGTAATATAATACGTATGTAAGTATTTATAAATTATTATTTTATTCTTACTACGTACTATATTAGTATTTAAATAATGCTTCAATAAGAGAATTTTAAGTTAATAAGTAATTACTAAAAAAAATATAATATTAATATAGTATTAAATAGCTATTATAGCTAGCTTTTAGGGTATTAACTTATTAATATAAGAAACAGAGATATTAAAGTAATAAATAGGGCTTAATCAATAATATTAACTAACTAGGGGCCCTAGAGAACGTCGAGACTACTTTTATTTTAAACTAGGTAGAATAAATAATATAATAAATAGGTTAGGCTAGTGAATATATACGGATATTTAAATTTTAATATATTATAATAATATATATTTAAATAAACTATTAACATAAATAATAGCTATTTATCCTAAATTAATAAGCAGTTCTCGTATCGAAATTACCATACTATATTAAATACGTACTTAGGATATATTATATATATTATATAATTAAAAAGTATACTATATTATATAATTCTTTTAAAATCTTAATTCTATGAACGTCGATCTTTTATACTCATAAAGCCGTTAAAGAACTATTATATAAATAATAGTTATTAATATAATAAAAACGCTTTATTAATTATGAATTTATTAAATAAAAAGCTAGCCGTCTATATTAAAAATTGAATTAAAATAAGTTATATTATAAATTTTATAATTCTTTTACTTATTAATAATAAATAAAAATAAAATATAATAGTACATATTTTAGAATTTAATATTTTAACTTTATTTAAAACCTTATTTTTTAACTTTTAATTAATAGTTAGTAAAAATAAATTAAAATAAGTATTTAAAATTTATAAATATAAAAAAAAAGTTTTTATTTAATTTATTAATAATAATTAAATAGTTAATTAAGATATATATTTAAAATTTATAAATTGAAAATAAATCCTTTTTACTAATCATAAATAAGAACTTAATTATATAGAATAATAATATAAGTCTAAAGAGGCTAGCGCTGCTATATAAAAATAGCTTATTTACCCCAAGTTATATAATAGTTTTTATATAATAATTATTATATTATATTAAATACGTACTTAGAGTATATTACGCATATTATATAATTAAAAAGCAAATTATATCGTGTAATTGTTTTAAAAGATATAATCCTATTAAAATTAATTTTTTACTTATAAAGCTAAAAACCATTATATAAGCTCAAAAGTTTAAGTATTTTAGCTAATTCTTGGCTAATTTATTAAGTATTTTATTATATCTAAAGTGAGATTATTAAAAAGCTTTAGTTCAATTTTAAAATATATATTTTAATTAAAAAAGATATAAATTATTTTTAAATCATTATTAATTAGGGTTCTTTTCTAGTATCTTTCAATTATCTTATTTAATACTTACTTTTTATAATTAAGTTTTTAACTTAAATTATTAAGATTAAACGCTCTAACCTACTCTATTACTTATATAAGCTAGTACTTAAAAATCGTTTATATATTAAAATAAATAAAACTTATTTTGTAAACGAATAATAAAAAGTTAAGAATTAATAAAAAGAAAAATAACTAAGGTAATTAATTATAATTTTAATTAATAATTAGGTATAAAGTATAAAATACTTAGTTTTATTTATTACGTAGTATATAGTACGGCTCTATCGAATTACTTAATTAGGCAGATATTTATATTTATATTTCTAGTTTTTATAATTTATATCTTTTATTTTCTATTTTTAATATATTTTTATTTAAATATATAAAAAGAAGTTAAGTATTAAAAAAGAATACTTTTAAAATAATAAAATAAATTAGTTTTCATTTAAAACTTTAATATTGAGCCTAATACATGATAATTTCTTTTAGCTTTATAAATATAAAAGTTAATTTTTAAAAATACATATAATACAATATATACTATTTAACTATATAATATATATAATATACCCTAAGTACTTACTTATTATAATATAATAATTTGATATAAAATCCGCTATTTAATTCGGAATAAATTAGATATTATTACTTATTAATAATAGGCTTAGCGATATACTTATATAATAGGGCTAGCTATATAGACCTAGTTTTTTTTAATATATAATATATAGTACGGCCCCAGCGGATTACTCCGTTAAGGGGACTGAGCTTAATATATTTAGTACTTATTTATTTCAATAAAATAAAATTAAAAAAAAAATTAAAAAAGAAACGCTATTTAAAAAGACCTAAGTGTCTTTTTATAATAATTTCAAAATACTCTACTTAAAAACTATTATAATATTTAATATTAAGTTCGTTATTAAAAATATAAAAACATTTATTTTTGAATATAATTTAAATTTAAATTAAAAATAAATTTTATTTTAAATATATTTATTATTTTTAAAGTCGTTTTTTAACTTATCTACTTAAAAGTAATTCTTATTTTATTAATATATAACTTATTTTAAAGTTTTTTATTTTATAAAGAGTAGCTATATTTTTATTTTATTTATATTTATAAAATATAATAGTAATTATTGCGACTAGATTAGCCTTTAAATTAGTTATACTTATTAGGTTATTATATAAATAAATCCGACCTTTAATTTAAATATCATTATAATTAATTATATTATTTTTATAAAGGTTCTATTTAAGTATTGTTTTATAGAACTTCTATTTTAAAAAGCTCTATGCTTTAACTTTAATTTAATATATTAAAATTACCCCTATATAGACTCACGAGGGCTAGACTCTTAATACTATTCAACTTAGTTATCCTTTCCCTTACACTTCAAGTCTCAAGCGCTTGGAGATGCGGCTTGATATCAGTAGTAGTTATCTCTTTAATATCAGTAGTGTAAAAATGTTCGATCTTTCTCAACAGGTTGGAATCATCAGGGGTGACGAAGTTGATAGCGACGCCTCTCCGCCCAAGATATCCGCCACGACCGACACGATGAATGTAGTTTTCATGATTGGCAGGAAGATCGTAGTTAATGACCAGAGGAATTTTCTGGACGTCTATTCCTCGAGCGAGTAGCTCAGTAGCAATTAAGAAATGAGCAGAACCAGCACGAAATTCTTCCATAATCGTAGCACGGTCAATGGCAGTCATATCCCCGTGTATAGCGGAGCAGGGAAGGTTGCGGGACTTCAGGTTGTCCGCCAGCCATTCGAGCTTTTTGCGGGTGTTGCAGAAGGTGATTGTCCGAGAAGCAGAGATATTGTACAGATCGAAAAGAGTGTTGAGCTTCCGCTCCTCCTCGACCATGATGTAGAACTGTCTAATACCCTCGGGGGTAAGCCGATCTTTCTTGGCCAGGATGCGGATAGGATCATGCAGAAACTTGGTGGTGACCTCAAGAACGTCCTGGGGCATAGTAGCAGATAGAAGAATAACCTGGGTCGACTGAGGCAGGAGGAGCTTGATGATATCATAGATTTGCTCAGTGAAACCGCGCTACAAGATAGATATTAGCGACTGAGAGGTACCAAGAGACATTTGAATAGGCACTTACAGCAAGTATCTCGTCAGTCTCATCGAGTATGAGCATCGTTATAGCATCAGTCTTGAGGAAGTGACGTTGGATCATGTTATGAATGCGGCCAGGCGTTCCGACAACGATCTGAGGGTCATCCTGCAAGGCCTTTATATCATCGTTCACACTTGTTCCACCAAAGCAGGCGTGACATTCCACGTTCATAAAGTCGCCAATAGCAACAACGACCCTTTGAATATGCTGAGCAAGCTCGCGAGTCGGGGCCAGAATGAGCGCCTGGCATTGCTTCACCGCGGGATCGATCTTTTGGAGTACCGAAATAGAGAAAGTAGATGTCTTTCCGGTACCAGACTGAGCCTGGGCAACTATATCGCGGCCCTTGATGATGGGCATGATGGCACGCTGCTGAATAGTCGAGGGACGCTCGAAGCCATAAGCATACACTGGCCAGATATCAGTATGGAGCGCAGATCAACTGTGTGGGCGCGCCGCAAACTTACCACCACGGAGAAGCTCAGGCGTGAGGCTCATGTCATCGAAGGACCCGACCATCTCCCCGTAGTTGGCCTCAATTTGACCTGTTCCACAGCGTGTTAGCCCAAGACCTTGTCCATGCTGAATAGAGTGCGAAGTCTTGCAGGCCAGAGCAAGCAAAAAGTGCAACATCTCTACACGAGCGAAGTAAACCATCGCCCCCGCCACCAAACAGGGGCTTCGGAGAAACTCACTCTCAGCAGTGTCTTCGAGTCCCGTAGTAGCCATGGCTGCGGTAGAGAATAATCTAAATCAAGCACAGCTCATTCTAGAAGAGGAAAGTCGTTAGGAGCTGGGGCGACTAAAGGAGGGTTCGCATAGTCCTCGATCGACAAGGCTGCGAGTGTCGCAAAAAGTAACTTGTAAGTTGAATAGATGCGTGCGCTCTAGTAAAAAGGGTTCAAGAGTGATTGTTGGGTTTGTTATCCCCTCTGTGGTGGCATGACGTCAGTGGATAGATACTTATTTTTGTGAGGGGTAATAGCAAGCTATACGATAATCCGATCCTATTTCCATTATTCCCACGAGTGCATTTTCAAGGAATTTCTTGAAGTTGAAAAAAACCTAGAGATGGTTGTGCTGACGTCATGCCGCGACCGATGGGATACTGAACGAGACTGACCTTCCTAGAGGCGTTTATAATTGATTTGCACAGAACAGTTATAGATTCGAACGTCAGAATGGAAGCTGGAGCCGTGGCTATTAGTTCCTATCACTATTGCAATGCCTAAGAGAAAAGAGTGTCATCTCAGGGTGTTCAGAAGCAGTACTGTTCTCTCACTTTCCAATAAACAGATTCTTCGATAGAGACATGGTGCTCAGTCAACCGCCCAGACTAGCAACATAGATACACCCCTCAATATCAGCCACTGCCTCCGCACAGCTCTTCAAGTGGCAGTCTGAAAGGGGTTCCTTCTTTTAAATTTTAGAAAGCACTTTAGCCCTATCACTGTTGTACACCATGAGACCTTGCGTGTGGTCCTCGGTCTATAAACATAACTTGACTATAGAACCTTCTGCACCGATCTCTAGTCCAGACTTAACAAAGTTTCTTTACCCCTGAATCGAAGTCCCATATGATAGGGTTCTTCTCGAAAGCATCGTCTAAATTGGTGCACACTACTGCTATGTGTAGCGAAATTGAAGTGATCGTAGGATGATTCAAGCCAACTCTCTTGCAAAGAGCCTATTGACCGAGTTTGATACCCTGTGCTGTGTAATAGTGCCCTCGGATGCTACGTCGGTCTCCATACACTCGAAGATAATAACGAAGCGTGAGCGTGTCCAAGAGAACTGCCTAAGACGGACAAGTCGGACATCATCACTATTAGCTGTAGCCAAAAGGCAAGGCTTTAGAAGCCTCGTCAGCGATGAATAGTCCACGTAGGTCGCCCATAGTTATATTTCAGGGCCCTACTCAGTCACACAGGCTGGGAGCGTCATTCCGGTATATCCGTTGCCACCTCATCCTCGGTGAGAAGGTGAGCGTAATGAGCAACGGTTAACTGACGTTCATGGGAAGCCCTATTGGCTTTTGCCTTCACAGTTAGGATTGCCAAGCAACTGTCTCTCGTCATGAGGCCGTTGCAGTTCCTAGTGTCCGTATTTCCTCCCCCCTTGCTATTGGGTTCACTGCATATTCATTCTGCTTTCGTCGCGTGGAAAACGAAGAATCGCTCAGTTCTCCGTCCGGCTTGCCATCTCGAACTCTTCATGCCTTACTGGTCTACTTGATGTGATCCACTTGCATCGTAACGGCCCCGGATGTATTGCCCCCACACCCACGTGTAGACTGACTGTCATGGGGGCGAACACCAATTCGAAATAAAAAGTAACCTTGCGTCTTTTTTGTCAAATTGGCCGCGTGTTCCGATGAGATAAGGAGGCATACCCGACAACCATAAGATAGAGATGCCGACTGACCGGTTCATCATCTGCTCATAGTCCATGCGTCGGGCTCACAGGCGTAGTCTTTTGCACGGCTGTGAAACAGCGAATTTCCTGCCACATCGTCGTCAGAAACAAAAGTTCAATCAAGCACGTTTGGAGCAAAAGTTCGGGCGACCGAGCACGTCAAGGACAAAAGTGCTAGGACCGGGATCCACCCCCACCTGGGGCCAGCAAATGAGCGTCAGGTGCTTCATCTAAGAACCCCTGCCGAGCTCTTCATCAAGACAAGCCAGGGTATCGCAACTCCGATAGATGGCATAAGTTGGAATATTGGGATGGATGGCCGAATCCGCCAGCAGTCGCCCCAAGGTCTCGGCCACATCTTGGCAAGGCTTAAGACATGACCTTCCCGCCTGGGCATTGCTTGGGACACCCTCTTTCCCTTAATGGGCCGAGCAGCCGGAGAACATGCCCACGTCTGCGCATTGCTAGTAGAAAGAAGCCATCACGAAACCTTGGAGTTTCCGGGGAATCCCTATCACGTCAGTAACCTTTTGATAGGGACCTTCCTAAAACCTCGTAGTTCTCTTTGTGGAGGGGCGTTCCAATCAGCCGGGCTCGCTCAAAGACCCCGGCTCTAATCCAGACTACATGCCGCAATCCCTGCCGAGCGGCATCCAACAGCTGGTCTGTCCTACAACAGCTCCAAAGCCCCCAATTGCACCAATGCCGGTCCTTATCACGACATCGAACCCCTTATCACCAAGACAATCAATATCGGATCAGTCGTACAACATGGGTCGCCACTCAGCAACAAGCTGAGGCATAGAGTACAAAATGACCACGTTTGCCTTCCCCCAGATGTGCGGAAATCCCGAACTGTTAGTACTCCAGGTTGGCGAGCCGATCCTTTTATTTGAGTTCCTGGTCTGTCTGATTATTGCCTTACTGCCCTGGTCTGTGCTTTTTCGTTGCGACTATGCCGGTGCCATTGACAGATGCCATCGTGGTGGGGGGGCTGAATCCCGTTGAGGGCAAAATTGTTTCGGTCCCCTCTCACCAAGCCATCAACGAGAAAGTCAGCATTGACGAGTCAGGGGTTGGAAAGGAACTTGCTTCCGAGATTCAAGCTATTCCGGCAACTACGACCTCCGACGATGGAAACCATGAGAAGGACGATAATAGCGACAATGCCATCATCATTACCGGTGCCGACGCTGCCCGATACTTACTGCCGCTCCGGGATGACTTCGACCCTGCGTTAACCTTTCGGAGTATGTTTCTGGCAACTTGCCTCTCAGCTTTCCAGGCTGTCATGAGTCAAATCTACACTGTGAGCTTTTTAATCTTGTTGGTGACTCGGATGTGGAACGAGCTCTGGCTAACAAGATGCTCTTCTTTGTCTACTAGTTCAAACCGACCGCCGTCACCATTTCCGGAACTTTCATCGTTCTTATCGGCTACTTCGTGGGCAAGGCATGGGCCAAAGTCTTCCCTCGTGGTGATAAACTTGAAGCTCGTTGGAGGCAGGACCATCCCGAAGGCGAACTTCCGGCGTACGTTAAGATCTTCAAATTTTTCAACCCGGGTCCCTGGGGGCTGAAAGAACATGCGATCTGCTCCATCACAGCCACATCTGCGTCCAATGCCGCCGCTAGTATTCAGGTGTTTGCGGCACAGGATCTCTTTTACGACTTGCCTCTGAGTCCGACAACCGTCGTCTTGACTGTCATTTCCATTGGTCTCTTCGGCTACGGCATTTGCGGTGTCATGCGCCCCATCGCCGTGTGGCACGTCGATGCTGTCTATTGGAGCACTCTCCCTACAGTCAAGACCCTTCAAGGTCTTCACTGGCAGGATTTGAAAAATTCCAAGCCTCTGCGATGGTTCTGGTACAGTTTCGCAGGAATGTTTGTTTACGAATTCTTCCCGGCATACATCTTTCCATGGCTGAACTCCGTTTCCATTCCCTGCCTCGCAGCCATGAACGCCACAGGTTCAAAGGCTGCTGTTCTCACAAATCTCTTTGGCGGATCTATCAACAATGAGGGCTTAGGCCTATTCTCCCTGTCTTTCGACTGGCAATATGTAAGGAAACCAACCATCACTCCAGCACAGTAACCTTGAAAACTAACGTATCACCAGATTACTTCATTCAACACTTCACTTCCGCTGACTCTGCAGGCCCACTCTGCTATTGGCTTCTTCATTTGCTTCCTTGCAATGATTGGAATCTACTACACAAACGCCTGGGATGCCAAGTCGCAGCCTTTCATGTCGACGCGACTGCGATCCGAGGACGGTACTGCGTATCCCATTGCCAAGGTTTTCACTGGCGGTGTGCTCAACCAGGAGGCCCTCGCCAAGTATGGCATCCCAAGGCTCACAGGCAGTTTCGCGTACGCGATGTTCATGGCCAATGCGGCGGTGAGTTATACAGGCCATACGCTACTAGGCACGAAGGCTGACAGAACATTAGATTGGGGCGTTGGTTGCCCACTGCTTCTTTTTCTGGGGCGGAGACGTCAAGAGGGCGTATCAGAGCGCAAAGAGTGGTAGATATGATGATCGCCATCACGATCATATGACCAAACACTACAAGGAGACCCCTTGGTGGTGGTATGTCATTGTACTGGTCATCAGCTTCGTTCTTGGCCTCGTTGTTGTCACCACACAGAACGTCACGCTTCCGGCCTGGGCATATGTCGTGTCCCTGCTTCTGGGAATTTTCATCGCGCCATTGGTAAGCATGGAACACACGTATTAGCTCCCAATTCCCAGCTGACTGGCGTCCAGAGCACGATTCTCTACTCTCGTTTCGGTAATGGAATTGCTACGAACAACTTATCGAAGATGCTGGCAGGTCTCATCCTTCCTGAGCGTCCCATTGGCAACATGTATTTTGCCGCTTGGTCGCACAACGTCATCTCGAACGCTGTTAATCTTTCCAACGACCTGAAGATGGGAGAATACTGTATGTGTCAGTCTCTACGACTTGCTTAACTTTGCTAACCTGGTCTACCAGTGAAAATCCCTCCTCGTGTTATGTTCCTCACCCAAATCTACGGTACTATCATTGGTGGTTTCATCAACTACGCAGTCATGGTCTCGATTGTGAACGGAAATCGAGAGCTTCTCGTGGACAGCGATGGAAACAGCTCTTGGAGCGGTGCGACGATGCAATCGTACAACACCAATGCCACTTCCTGGGCGCTGGCGAAGTACCTGTACAAGACTGGTGGCAAGTATGCTCTTGTGCCGATTGGCCTAGGTATCGGCTTTGGCGTTGTCATTGTCCACCGTATCATTGCATACGTAAGTCTCCGATGGCGTTGCTCGAATACATGTATGCTACACTTGCTAACGCAGCTCAGTTTATCCCCAAAATCCGCGGTTACTCCTTGTACGACATTAACTTGCCCCAACTCATTCAATATGCGGGCTATATTCCGTACAATGCATCTCAGACTTGCGTACTCTTCA